TATATATATATATATATATATATATATATATATATATATATATATATATATATATGTATATATACCTTTTGTGGGGTGATATATCACACTCCAAATTGCCACTCATTCCCTCATGTTGATCTACTTCCATAGAGTCAGAGTCTGAGATATTTTGTCCTTTGTCAACAACTGGAGATACTGAGGGCAAAGTCAGAGGCACACGATTATCTTAATTGCTTACATGGGGTAGAGGTTTCCACGTCGCCTAAATAAATCAATCGCGATTTATTCATTTATTTTGGACCCCATGGCATCACACGTTGAATACTATAAAATATTTATGTAAATTTTTACTGTGCTTGCCTTGCATATTTGACACCATATTTGCGTTCGCGTTCTCTGCTTGCAGTCTATCTTTTCGTTGCCTCGAAACATCAACATCTGACCTAAAGGGTATGCGAATCATATTCTCTATAAAAGGTCCAAAACTACTGAAGCAAAATAAAAAATAATGAAACCCTACACACCTTCTGCGGTATTCTAATGACAACAAATGAGCAGCAAATTCACTGTCAGTACTAGAACCGTATCCAGCCTCATTTTTCGCGTCTTTCCACGATTTAAAAATCGTCAACGACAAATAAATTTGTTTATGTTGACGATTCCAAACTAATTGTGCGCTGTTAGAACGTCGTATTTTCTCTTTCTGCCTGAATTCCTTCGCTTTCCCCCGTGCGTCGCACCAGGTGCGGCCGCCATCTTGGATTAACAAACTTGAAAAAATACAAGTGTAGAATTTCAAGTTTGCGATGCGCAGCAGGGATGCGCACAACGTGATACTGCTCCTTTAAGGACAGCCATAGTCGCTCCTTTGCACATATAGATATAAATATTATTCTTTCACTTTTGACAATATGCATTCGCTAGTAATACAAACGGCATTCCACAAATTTAGCAATCATGGTTGTTTTTTCTATGTAACTCTACAATTATAGCTGTACGTTGCGAGAATAATCCACATGTTTGTAACGAATAATCTACATTTAGGCTGCTTATTTTTATATTTTACACAAGGTTGCCAAACAGTCTGAATTAAGAGAGCTATTTTGGTAATATGACAAACCCGGAAGTCTAAAACACGTCACAAAATATAAAACCGGTTTTGCAAGTTCTCAAACGGCAACTCAGCATGCATGGAAGTGAGATTTGTATCGCGTGCCACCAGAGGTTCTCTTCGCCTCGCGTAAAATAAATACGAGCGAGAATAAGGCGAAAGATACGAGAACCTCTGGCAACCAAGGTACGTTTTACCATATGCCCAAGCGGCCCAAACATTGATATAACAAGTACAAGTATATACTTCACCAACACTAAACGCAGTCAAGTGTTGCCATGCATAGCAACATGATTATTTTGATTTTTAAAAATATTTTTGTACGAAATGGCACATTGCTTTCAATGTTTGATTGTTCAGTTGCGTAAAACATGCACTGCCTTCCGTTTCAATGTAGCTGTAACTAAATTACCCTATTCGGTTTAAACAAAAATATCAAAATGTAAAGAGAGCAACTTAATTTTAACACCGAACAGAAATTACTCAGTAATTTTAACTTACCGTGTTTTATAAAGTTAAAAACAATTTATCAGCAAAAGCAGTTTAGTTTGAATGAAGTAGTGAGCATTTCAAAACATTTTACGAAACGTTTTAGATTAAATTTTACATTAACCTAAAGTTCATAAAATGCAAAATAACATACCTAGAGTATGTATTTCCGAATTTCATTGTTGTGTAGTTAAAAGCACTAATTTTTCAACTATTATGGCCCTATATTTTATTTCTCGATTTTTCTTAGTAAATCAATTTTTATTTCTTCAAAGCAAAATTGCTCTTTGCACATTAAATATTAACCCTATGACTATGTGTATTTCTAGGGACCAAACTTTGTGGCTGTGTATAGTTTTGAAGGACAAGACAGTGACGGTCTCAGTTTTGAAGAGGTGTGTGCTACGCATTCATTACACTGTCTCTATATGATCGTATTGTATTATTAAATCTGTGTAGTACTTAAATTATGATATAACCTTGTGGAAGCTTTTATCTTCATATTATATTGATAAATTATGTTTGTCATTTGCCCTGCATGATAATAGTTCATTGCTGAATGATGTACCTTTAGCATACAGTATATAATAAAGTCAGCGTTTTTCACCAACGCGAAACTGGCCATCCAAATGTTTTGTTTTGTTTTGTTTTGTTTTGTGTTAAGTTTGCTTCGGATTTATACTTTTTCGTGCGAATGTACGTACGTATATACAGTTTACGTGTGCATATATAGGTCAAAACTCATGACTGGAAGACAGTACCTTCAATAACGGTCTGACATATGACATTTTCCGTCCATACATTTTCCATGCTAATTCGGACGTTTTGTTCGGACAAAACAGAACAATTAGTTTTTGCAAAGACAGGAACATGTAATTAAAGATTGGAACTGAGCTTGCCACAAAAAATGTGGGATTACATTGTTACAGTACAGAAGACTATATAGCACATTTTAATTGACCACTGCTTGAGGGAATTAACCAACGGAGACTGAAAAATGTGGATAAATAAGATATGCAATATGTACTTGGTTATAACTACATGAAAAGCACAAGCAGAACTTCAACGTTTCGAGGGAAGAACTTTCGTCCGGAAGTTAGTAGCGGGGTTCGGGCAATTTACATGAGCTTTTTTTATAAGTGAATATAAAAGCGAGCACGTATAACATCAAAATAAACCAATCTGATGGATTTATTCAAAACAAAGTGTAACCAAATAAAATGTAAATTACAGTACAGAATATAATCGAAATATGTATTTTTTGTAAAACTACAACAGATACAAATAATCTAATATTATGAAACAAGTATGGAATAAGGTCAGAGTTTAAAGTACCGTCAATATCTGCTTTTCACAGGCAAAGACAGAAAGAGCTAAGCGTTGGAAAAACCTTTTTTAATATCATTGGAAATGTAACGCATTTCATGTCTTTTGCGTGCTATCATTGCTTCCAGAAATGGGCCTGAGGGCTTGGATTTTTATATCTTAAATACTGTGATTGCTACTATTAAAATGTTTGGCAACGGGCTGGTTAGTATCGTTGCTAATGAATACGTGCTGATGCTTACCAAACCTCGCTCATTTGGAGGTTAGGGCAAGATTGACTTGGCAAGAGCATTATTCGTGCACTTGTTCTGGACAATGTGTGTGTATATATATGCAACTGGGGTCAAATTTTTAATATCCCGACAACATCTGACCAAATTTAAAATTTCTGATCAAATTTTAGTTTAGTCTGAATTTTTTTTAATTAAGCTTGTCCGGTGTGGATATACACTCACAGTAACACCACAAACATCGTATTCACCTGAGTACATAACACCAACACAGAAAAAAAATGTTTTAACGTTAATCAGGGTTTGCTTTTCATTATCTTTGCTTACTATAGGGAGACGAACTTACAGTTTTTCGACGTTTAGGGAAACATAGGTATCGTGCAAAGGACAAATACGGGTAAGCATTGAAATTGCATTCTCTTATCGCAAGACAAGTATAAAGTTTAACTTCTTGTTTTGCGTGCTTTATACGCACTAATATATTTGTATTAACATTTGTAATAGCTGTACCGTGTACCGTACATGTGACAAATTCAAATCATCAGGTTTAAAAACAGTTCAGTATATGCACATGCAGCCCATATTTTGTGATTGACTCGCTTAAACAGAAATGATGAATGTTTGTGACTCGTTGTTTAGAAAAGTTTGTCCTTAGTTTTATTGTTTTTTATTGTTTTAGTCGACCAATCATTAAATATATTCATGCAGGTCGACGGCGACCCTTGTGCATGAACCTGAGGCCCCTGGCGTAACCGGTCACACGAGCATAATTTGATGGTTTCAAAACGATGTTTATAGAAGAATTATTTAAAAGCGCAAACCAGTCTTCAATACGAATTTTAGAATAATATACCTTGTTCTTGTATAGGAGGACAGGTCATATTCCAGCAACTTGTGTGCGTAGAAAAAAACGTGGCTTAGAAACCGACGTGTAAGTTTCTACCTTTATATTTAAATTTTATACCTATGTACAGTACATATATGCCTTGTCTGAATTAGGACCAGTTCGCGGGGCACGGGGAAACGTTCTCTCGGGATCACAAGGATTCATTGGATGTCATCCAAAACACAAGCATATGATTGGCTTCGCTATTTCCATTTCGCAACGCAGAAGAAACGAATTCAAGAATTCGAGAAACATTTCGCAGAGGAACACTCGAAAATCACCTTGCGCATGCGTTCAACTTTTTCGCATTTCGCTCGTGGAATTAGGCCTTAATATCAACACATCAATATAACATGTTACATTATATCAGTATCCGTTCTGCTTAAGTATCGAATGCTGTGCTTAAATTTCTGTGGTGCTGTGTCAGAATGACACGGTAATTGGATAATTCGATGTTGATAATTCTTTCTTCTCTTTTGAGAGAATGATGACAAAAGTTGTTTTTTTTAATTATGTATTAGAAAGTCTTACAATCCTAATAGCAGACCTATGCCCTATGTCCTTTGTCCAAAAGATGACCACAGGTTAATTTTGGAACCGCTGTGTTAAAACCAGATATGGCTTATGGGGTAACATTCCTTTTGATCTACAATCCTGGACAAAACATCTGCGGAAAAAAAAAAGCCACATAGAAATATTTTAATAGAGTGTCGCAGCACAGTTTATAGAAATGAGATGTTTGGGCTAGCAGGCAAACTTCAAAGGGGACGGCAAATTATGTTGGGGATCAGAGGATAAGAAAAGACTCATGAAGCTGTGCGCTGCTTGTGTTTTCATATGGTTTTCTATTACGAAGAATGAAGTATTTGGATAAAATATCAAATTTCGCTTTGTTTGAGAAGGGCCATTCAATAGGTTTGCGATCCTCATTGCCTGGCAAGTTTGTCCAGAAGCAAACAGTCTTTTACGAAGCAAAATGAGCGAATACGAAAGCAAAAATGAAGCAAGCATTGGAGGGCTCGAAGAGGTCGATTTATCTGATGACGATTCAGACGACAATTTCAACCTTTTGTTTGGTGTTTTGGTGGCTGATATGACCAGATATGGCTTATGGGGTAACATTCCTTTTAATGTACAATCCTGGACAAAACATCTGCGACAAAAAAGGCCACATAGAAATATTTTAATAGAGTGTCGCAGCACAGTTTATAGAAATGAGATGTTTGGGCTAGCAGGCAAACTTCAAAGGGGACGGCAAATTATGTTGGGGATCAGAGGATAAGAAAAGACTCATGAAGCTGTGCGCTGCTTGTGTTTTCATATGGTTTTCTATTACGAAGAATGAAGTATTTGGATAAAATATCAAATTTCGCTTTGTTTGAGAAGGGCCATTCAATAGGTTTGCGATCCTCATTGCCTGGCAAGTTTGTCCAGAAGCAAACAGTCTTTTACGAAGCAAAATGAGCGAATACGAAAGCAAAAATGAAGCAAGCATTGGAGGGCTCGAAGAGGTCGATTTATCTGATGACGATTCAGACGACAATTTCAACCTTTTGTTTGGTGTTTTGGTGGCTGATATGACCAGATATGGCTTATGGGGTAACATTCCTTTTAATGTACAATCCTGGACAAAACATCTGCGACAAAAAAGGCCACATAGAAATATTTTAATAGAGTGTCGCAGCACAGTTTATAGAAATGAGATGTTTGGGCTAGCAGGCAAACTTCAAAGGGGACGGCAAATTATGTTGGGGATCAGAGGATAAGAAAAGGCTCGTGAAGCGGTGCGCTGCTTGTGTTTTCATATGGTTTTCTATTACGAAGAATGAAGTATTTGGATAAAATATCATATTTTGCTTTGTTTGAGAAGGGCCATTCAATAGGTTTGTGATCCTCATTGCCTGGCAAGTTTGTCGAGAAGTCTTTTACAGTCTTTTACGAAGCAAAATGAGCGAATACGAAAGCAAAAATGAAGCAAGCATTGGAGGGCTCGAAGAGGTCGATTTATCTGATGACGATTCAGATACAACAACAACGACAACAAGATGAAGGATACATGAAGTATACCTACAGAACATATTTGCAATTCAGTGCTTGACTCTCCTGTTGTGAAGTCATTATGGAAGTTCATCTGCAACTCCAAAATTGTGCTTGGAGAATATTGTACAAGTAAAACTCTACTTAACAGTTAGATTTTTCATATGCCAAGGATGCAAAGTACGAAATAAAAAAGAAGCAAACAAAGATTTCAGAGCGCTCAGAAAGACTTGGAGAGGAAATAACTGTTTATCCCTAGGATATTTACAGATATGTTAAAAACAATAACAACAGTATATAGTGAGGCTTCGGTGGCGCAGTCGTCAAAGCAAGCGCCTTCCACCTCTGAGGTCGTTGGTCCGATTCTTGCTACGGCCTCATCCAAAAAGAGTCAACGCCCTGCTGAAAGTTGTGGGTTTCCTTTGAGTGCTCCGGTTTCCTCCCACTGGGAAAGTTGACAGAGTGGGTTAGGACAAACGCAGTTAGGAAAGTAGTCTCTCAATTGTCGTAATGATAAATAGTCTAGGCTAAGTAAGTAACATGAGCGCAACACTTGATGTAATCGGTCAATGAAAAGCCTCAATGGGGAGTGAGCTGAATGATAATGTAATGTAGCATAATTCTCTTCCTATCAAGCGTCGAAACTCGATTATCATTGGGTATCAATGTATAATTATGTCTTATTAACTTTTGTTTTGGAAAATAACATTATTTGACCAAAGCTTTTGATTTGTTATCTGTGATTTTAAATAAAGCAATACCCTTTTTTTCCGCTGCTAAAGTAGCCAAAAAAGCGCAATTTGTACCGGGCAATGCTGCCAGGTACGTGCTGGCTATGGGGACGAGCCGAAGTTGGGGGCCCTGCTGGAAAAGATAAAAACCGAAAATATTACCGAAAAAATTAACAAATCACGGTTCATTTACTTGAAAGTCACTGAAAAATGGTATGTCCTGAAATTTTTTTACTCCTCTCGCTCGCCGACAATTTGGGAAAAAAAGATTAATTAGCGACTGAAATGTTTCATATTTGATCAGTAATACCCCCAATACCTCCACCTCAATCTTGATCCATTCGTCACTGGGCCTGGGCCCCATCAGATGCTACTCGTTCGTCGTCCTTTTCGAAACCCAGCACATCCCTGTTTGCTGCCAATTACATAATGAAAAAAAATATATAAAGATACATTCAATAAAAACGAAAGCTTTTCAAGACTGCTGTGTAAACTTCGGTGCGAATGTAGCAATACACTGATATCTGATTCTCATCGTATTCCAGCCTTTATCAGTCACAATAGCATCTTAACTGATCCATGTTTCCGTTTCAATGACGTTTTAAATTTGTAATATTTTAGAGCTCTTTGAATTGTTCTCCAAAATCAAAATTGCGATTTGTGCGAGATATTTTGACCCTTCCATATCGGCTTCATTTTTCGTTTTTACACCCTCATTGTTTCAGATAATGATATTTGCATCTCAACGTATCTGACACGAACCATCACGAATATATGGTTTGAATTAACTTCGTGAGACAATCGGAAAAACGTCATTTTATCTGGAAATATGATCCACCGATATATAAAATATATACAATGTTTTGAAACAGCGTACCACTTTCTTGTCACGTAACGCAAATAAATTCAGAACAATGACATATTCTGTGACGTCAGCAGTAGCCCAACCATCTCATTTCTATTTAAACTGTGGTCACTAGCCTGCGAACAGGCTCTCAAGCTGAATTGAGAGCCTGCATTGATGACTAATGAATTTGCATATCTGCCCCGTAACGTTCGTTTTTCCAAATATGGAATGTCTATCCTTATATGGTGTTGTTTACAACTTTCGTGCAAACTAAATTTAGACCGTGCAAACTAAATTTAGACCGTACAGTTTATACTGTTTTTCGAAATATAAGATATTCAAGCAAAAGTTTAAATGTTTTAAATACTGTTTTCTCAAAACAGAACATTTCGTGCTTTGAGATAAGATGGCCAAGACCAATTTGATCAGTTAATGTGTTTTTTATGCATAGTGCCTCAGCAGTTGACATATATAGAGCTCAGCCGAAACATATAAATTATAGCATCTGACCAATGAGAATTTCGCGTCACGATTTGAGACGCAGATATTCAAATGTATTAGTCATCGATGCAGGCTCTCAATTCAGCTTGAGAGCCTGTTCGCAGGCTATGTGGTCACAGGTGGTTTTGACACGGATTGTCTATATCTTTCAAATTCAATAATCAAGGCATAGCGCATTAAAAATTGAGTTTTATGCTTAACTTTTTTGTTTACATAGTCAGTATGGCTCACTGGAATGTATTAGTCTTAAAAAAACAAATGTAAACATCGAAAAAACACTGGCCAGTGCAACAGCCTACATGTTTTGATTTAGATGTTCCACATATTTTCGGCTATTCTTTGAAAATATACGTATAAATATAAATACTACAACGTACAACCTGTCTTCAAACATAAAATTTTAAAAATATACCTTGAATGGCAATTTAAGGACGATTCTTCCATGTGGCTTAATTCAGTCAAAATTGTAGTTATAAATGTTGTAATGAACAAATTGTTTCTATTTCGGTAACTAAAATTTTAAATTGTCTGTCAAAAGGCATTTTTTCAGCATGTCCATGCGGTGAAACGATCCGGAGAATAACATTACGAAACAAGTTTACCTTCCGTTGTCTTGTTGAGTAGAAAAGCATCTAATGCAATGAAACTAAACGCTTTTTATCTGGCTTTTATCGCGTCGTTTCAGCAGTTTGTCCGTCATGTTTGTACTAAGTAACAAACGCAACTGATCTCAAATGCACTTCGAAATTGAACTGAAATTTTATTGGAATTTCACTATAACCAAGAAACATCAAATAAAAAAATAAACACGTTATTTCCAGTTTAGGTCAGTCTGTACTAAAAAATATTTTCCCTCTGCCTCAGAAGCGTCGCTTGGCCTTGGGCCTCGGGCCGGGCCGCCGTGAGAATTTGCGGGGCCCGGGGCGAATTTCTCTGTGGGCCCTATGACATCATTATTTTTAACCTAGACCCTAGCCAGTCACCCATATTAGCAGATTATTTTATTCCAGCCATAAATACGTTAACGAGCAAAGGGAAATTTTGTTCTTGACCAATCAGCGCACTTGTTGGCAATTTTGCTTTAAGCCAATCAGGATGCATAATTGGTTATTTATTTATTTATTTATTAAACTTTGCCAAAAACACTTAACAGAACAGCAAATAGACATCTACACAATAAACATGGACAAAAATGGCAGGGACACCACAACAGTGTAAACAATTACTGTGGGCCCTATACAAAAATACACATACAGTACAGAATATATAACATACAGTACCAACCTCGTACCCAGGATCTTTCTTTGGGAAAGACCCTGGCTGCGGCTGGTCACGTGCCTCATCAAAAATTTAGCGCCCGAGGGGGTGTGGGGAAAGTATCAAATTACATAACATGCTTCCAGTTCGATATTCGTTAAAAACATAAATTTTGCGAATTATTACATTCAAAATACTTGCTAATTTTTGTTTATTTTCTTTGCTTTGAATTTACAAGAACATTCTTACATTCTTACTTACAGTCAAATCAAAGAAACCAAGCAAATCGTTACTCGCAGTGCTCGAGTCTCGTGTTGTTACTCAATGCATGCTCTCTTCACACTCGAGCGCTGTTTAGTAACAAACGTTTATTGTAATGTTTTTAAAATACGCCATTACATTCGTCCTTTCTTGTAAACGTTGATACGCTTGGCACCGATTCATTTGTTACTACGTCTACGCGTCTTGTTTATAAGATTTTTGAAAGAAACAGTATTGTCTAGGACTGGCCCAATATTAGCAAATGTAAACATTTGATATAAATAGCTGAACAGAGAAATGTCCATAAGCATAGAGGAAATTTCAGTCATTGATTTACATGGATTTAGTACATAATTCGTATTCGGTAATTATAGTAAGATTTAGCCTTTTTGTTGGTCTCTATTAATCATTATATTGTGCCAACATACTATAATCTATATCACAAATTTACAGCGTCAGATGCGCACAGACAGTCATTGGCGTCATACGAACAGACATAAATTTTCGAGTTTTCTACTTCTACTAACATTTTTAAAGTTTTTATTGTGAATGACCTGTTTATCTCTAATTCACTAATCATTTGCTACTTTTAATATATTTATTTGATAGTGCCATATAGTGAATAATGCGTTTGCACACAAGCAATCCTGGATATGATATAGACGATGCAAGCTGTCCATTAAAAAATAACGGTATTCTATTTCACAAAGCAAAAATTTAAATCTCACTTGTATTATTAAGAATGCATATAAGCAAAAAATAAAAGCTTATTCATGTCAAATAAACGAAAGCTGTTTACAAAATTTATAAAGGTGGTGAACACTACTAAACAGTGCTCATATTTGAAAGACATGTATAATATATAGTGACATATAATTTGTCGTTTGACTTATCTTTGGTGTATGATTTTAATTTTAATACCGTAGATTTTCAACAGACATAGCTACTTTGACATATACCACGTCCATGATCGTTGGATTCAGCAATGCAAAGGGCTTTAAGTTTTTTTTGATAAGGTCTTTATATAGATCAACAATCTGGATACAGTTGGCGATATTTGATATTTCGGAAATCAAAACATCTCGCTATTTCGTTGCAATTCCACATCTCATCAATAAATAAATTCTTTTGGTCCGAGTATCAGGATAGACTTTAATACTAAATAAATAACAACCACACTGTTCGGTCTAGAGATACATATTTTCCTGTAGGTTTAATATTGCCACGCTGCACAAGCGGCAAGCCGCCGCAAGCGTGATTTCTTTGGCAAGTCTATATTAAATGAAATCTGATCCAACTTGCTTGAATTGTAACTCGACACCAGATTATAGAGTAGAACGTCACGATATAAATATTAATTTAAGAGTTCTCTTTACGATTTCTTGTTGCAAATTTACAGTACATTTCATC